CGCTGTTAAGTTGGAGGCCATCACTGTTAAGTTGGAGGCCATCACTGCTAAGTTGGAGGCCATCGCTGTTAGGTTGGAGGCCATCACTGCTAAGTTGGAGGTCATCACTGCTAGGTTGGAGGCCATCGCTGTTAGGTTGGAGGCCATCACTGTTAAGTTGGAGGCCATCACTGTTAGGTTGGAGGCCATCACTGTTAGGTTGGAGGCCATCGCTAGTAAGTAGGTTGGAGGCAATCACTCTTGGGTTGGAGGTCATCGCAGCAATTCTGGTCCTTCAATCTGGCAAAGACTTTGCAGCTTCATTTTCAATGTAGTCACCGTGTCGCCCTCTGCGAAGGTCAGCTCGAAGCGTTCCCCCCCGGGTTTCAGGATGCTCACGCTTCGGCTCATTGCATCCATGGCTTTCGACTGCTGATTGTAGCCTAAACACTCATAGGTTGGAGGCCATCGCACTTAGGGTGAAAAGGCCATTGCTTCCAGGTTAACCTGCACAAACACATTGCACACTTCTGCAATCTTGTGGTGATTGAAATATGGCACCAGGACCGGCACCAGGTGTCTTTTGCGAACACTCATGCTCCGCTGGGGTTGCAACTCCGGTGTAGTACCTTTCAAGGCGAGATTGTGTTGGTAGAGCCAATGTGGCATGGAAAAATAAAGGGCAAGCTTGAGCCAGAAAGGTTCAACTGGGAAAGTCAAAGGATTCAAAGAGTAATATCAAGCAATATCAATTTACAATCGCGTTTTTGCCTACGAGTCTAGCAGTCTAGCAAATCACTTGTTTGACCTTCTTCATTCTTTGATGGCCCGCTGAGCACCATCCAAAACTTGCCTTTCCTTTGCAAGGCACCTCATCGCACTCTTCATCCTTGCACTCCCAGTGCCACTCTCTGTCAGTGCCACTCTCGTGTTTCCGCAGGTGTCTCGATTTCTGTGGGACCGGCCACCATCCCTCCGTCGGACACCCGACGCGCCGTTTTGCTCGACACCGAGGCGCAAGAGTTCCTCGACCACGCCGAAGTGCTGAAAAGCCATGCCACCGCCGCCCGACAAACACAGCGCGGTGCGGCCGAAGGTACACACCGCCAGTTCCGTGAAGCGCTGCAGCTGTGCCTCAGGTCACCGGAAGCTGCGGGGCAGCTTAAGCGCCCAAGAAATGCTTTCGTGAACTATGCACGAATCTGTGCCACATATGGAGATGATCGTCAGATATATGACATCTCATCTATATGAGAAGATTAAAGGAGCATGTTTCAGCATGTTTTGACATGATTCGCTTGATTTCGTGGTATTCACCATGGGGCCGCCAACCGCCAACCAATCCTTGAAGTTTTGAACCGAGCCTTGATCAAATGCCAACAAATCCAAAGAGAGCATTTGCTCATGTGTGCCCTGCAAAAACACACTTGTTCACCCGGTGGCTCTGCACATGGGTCTCAATTCGAGGACAGCCAAAGTGCTAAAAGAGCCTCACTCTCCGCGTCATTGATCGGCTTGTTGGCCACCTGCACTCAGCATATTCAGCAAATGCTGACTTCATCTCTTGCCTTGGATCATGCAAACACCTAGGTGATTTGGAAAAAAAGTAGTGGCACGTAGTAGTGGATGTTCTTTCAAAGGCTCATTGTTTGTCATTCCTTTTTACAATTGATGTGATTCAGCCCTTTCCAGCTGAACATGAGCTCCCACGCCGGGCCTCGTGTCGTAGCTCATCCAAGCACTTGACAACTACGTTACCTCAGTCTCTACCAGTCAGACTGGCAGTGAAGGAATTGATGATTCAATGAACACTGTCCGATAGGGTCACAAGCGGCTGCAGAATTTTGCTCTCAGAGTCTTCAAGAGCTCGCCCTCTCGCTCGAAGTCAGTATAACGATGTTGATATTTATGTATGTATAGATAAAGAATATTGAAAGTCTGCATAGTAGGACATCTGACATGTGACAGGACTGCAAGTTCTTGACCAGCGCCGTGGCCACAGAATCAGCGCTGAACCCAAGGCCAAAATACAGTAGTCTTCAATCAAATGCTTCGTTCCAGTAAATGTCTTGGCATAGAGGGCTTCGTTCAGGTGCCCAGCATAATTCGTGTCCTGCAAGACCAACGAAGGCCAACAAAGGCCAAGGGCCTTTGGCCTCCAACCTAATAGCGATGGCCTCCAACCTAAGGCAATGGCCTCCAACCTAATAGCCATGGCCTCCAGCCTACTAGATGGTTGCATCTTTCGGGTAGCTCCTGAAGGCGTTTCTGCAAGGCGCGTAGGAGCTTGGGCCAATCCCTCTGCTCTTGGAGACTTTGCAGTTCCACCAAGCTGGAGGACAAAACCTTTGCCAAGACTGGTTGACAGTGGTTGACATTGAACAACATTGATTGCGTGACTTTTGATGGCATAGATTGAAGAATGTTTGAGTGCACCTCCCATGCATAGTAGCGGCTTTGGGGCCGGCTCTTCCATTCCTGGTAGCAAGCGGTCGACAGCCGAATCCAAAAAGAATGGCACCAAAAAGAAAGCACAAGCAAGGACTGCAATGTGAGATCTGATGGATCTCAAGGACCAAGTTGTTCAAACATAGCACCGTCATTGTAAGCCAGTGACAGGCTATGTAGCAATGGCTGGAGTCGACGAAAGTTGAACCATGTTAAAGCAAATTTCAGGCTGACCACGCCCATGACCGTGAAGCAACATGCAATGACCACAGGTGACCGTCACCGTCTTACTCTAAGTGACAGTGACTGCCCTGACCGCCGTGACCGCCGTGACCGCTGCCTGACCTCTAAACCATTGGCTCGATCCAACTCCATAGCAGCTGCCTGGGGCACAGGCATACTAACATGCTGGCAGCAAGCTTGCACCAACTAGTGCCAAATCATGCCACATCCATGTCACTCAGCGAGCTTTCTTCCACCTGATGATTGCTTTGTGTAGATCATCGCTAGTCGCTAGTCACTAGTGAATTAATGAGTTTATGATGTCCTTTGGGCCCTTCATAGATGCACAACCTACGTATACTGCCGTGTCAAAGGATCAAACACTGGAGTTCCAAATCAATCAAGAATGTACCAGTGCACACCTTTCTTTCCTTCCTCTTTCTTTCTTAGTCTTTCTTAGTCTTTCCTTTCCTCATTCTGCAGTTTGGACGACCTGGCCTTGTACTCCTTCATGGTCCCAGCTCGTAGCATCCACCACCGCGCACGGCGCGTCTCCGAGGCGGCACACAGCCACTCGGTGGCATGGATCAGCGCGCGGATGGCAAAGTAAAGCACCAGGACCACAGTAATCACCTGAGAAGATCTGTAGCCTTCATGGCGATTACTGTGATATGCATGATATATCACCTGAGATCTGTTCTATATCACCTGGCATTCTCAGAACATGCATCTGTTTTACTCTTTTATTCTGTAGCCTTCTCCGAACCGGAGTCGAGTAGGCTTCAGTAAGCGAAGTGAGCTTAAGAAGCTACAAGGACGCAAAATCGGTCACGCTTCTTCAAGGAAGCTCCCCCCGCCTGGGGGGAAGCTTCTTTGAAGAAGTGCTCGCACTAATGATTTGGTTCCTAGATTTGGAGGCAATTTTAGCCCTCACCATTCTACGCTAGTCTGTTCTTCCTCATTTTCGTTTGGTTGGTCATGTGAAGCTGTTCCTTTGTGACCCTTTGTGCCAACTGGGGCGAAGCTTTGAGAATCTTTCGAGGTCTTGTGGCCAAACTAGCCAAGCTAAGCCCGCACCAGAAATTGGAGCCAAATGCAGCTGTGTCACTGCACAAGCACAAGCAAAGAGTGGCCATCGTAAGAGCATGTACGCAGAGGGTAGCATCGCTCTGATGCTGTGTGCAGCCGTCCGGGTTCTGGACAGAAGCAAGTCAAAGCATCTTTGTGAAAAAGCACTGAAGCATGCAACACCATGCCAACAGTTCCAACATAGAAGGAATACTTCCGAAATGAACGACCTGCTGACCTTCCAATTCCTCGAGCACTGCTCTTACAATTTCCTATTGCATCCTATTGCTACGTCACGGTGGGTTCCAGCCCGACCCCGTCCCACCAAATGCCAACCAGTACCGTGTCATTACTAGTAACAAAGGGCATCGCTACTAGGAGCTTCTTGCTACTAGTAGCAAGGCCAGGAGCTACTAGTAGCTTCGGCTCCCAGTAGCGATGTCCTTTGTTACTAGTAGCGTCCTTTCCGTATTTGTTTTTTTTTTCTCTGCTCTTGTTTTCTTTGCCTTCTTCCTTCCTTTCTTCCCTTCCTAAACGCCCAAAACTGCCGGCCTCTTCTTACGGCTGGCAATTCGTGCATCGTCTGAGGCATTCCGGGGAGATTTTAAACCTAGCACTCGCTGCGGGTACACAAGCTTGTGCTTATTCAAGTCTGTCGAGGGCCGAGGGCATAGACTCATATAGACAGTAACAAAATCAAATAGGGCTATATAGGACCCGCCTTAAAGAAAAAACAAAAGCAATATCCGGACCGTCTAAAAACTTGTCCTGCTACATTCCCGCATTCTGATTGCAACAACTGGCCCCTGTCGTGCTTCGTTTCAGCGAAGACACACCGCCCTGGTCGTGCCACCGCGTCTGCTGTGCATTTGATGCTGTCTTCCCCAAAGCGAGACATTTGCACCAGGACAATCCGATGCAAAGTAGCTCACAATCCAAAGCTTATGCATGCTTATGCAATCTGCCTGTTGCCTGTTACCACTGTTTGTCCTTGAGAACACGTGCGATGGGCGATACTTCGCCTCGCCACAAAGATTCAGGTCATCCGCCTTGTAAAAAGGCATCTTTACATCTAAAACACACACACACACACATCTTGAATATGCCTTTCAACATACAAGATAGATATGCCGATTCAGGTCATCTTTAATTTACATCCTGAGAGTTTCACTTTCTCGCTTTGAGCCGGTTGACTCCGAGGTCGGAAGGTCCAAGGTCACCGGTCGACCGGTCGCCGTGAGTTACGGTCGTGCCGTCGCGTGAACGCCTCTTTTCGGGGCGCCTCTCTTGTCCAACTCCTTGGAGTCAGTGGTCCTAGTAGTAACAAGTGCATCGCTAGTAGTAACAAGTGCCTTACTAGTAGAAACAAGAAGCTAGTAGAAACAATAAGCTAATAGCTTCTTGCTCCTAGTAGCGATGCCAGGAGCCCGTAGTAGCTTCTTGCTCCTAGTAGTAAGGCAAGGAGCCCCTAGTAGCTTCATGGATATTCATGGGTACCTCCATTGGTTTTGCCGTTGCAGTGTCTTGGATTGACGTAGCCTGCAAGCAAACAGTTACAGCACCGCACGCGAATGTGCTTGGCCACCAGACTTGTTGCCTTCCGCAATTCTGTCTTGAACCTAAATTTCGCATGGACATGAACTGAACTTGAGGCCAAGGGGGGGGGGCGAAAGCTAGCGCTC